CTGAGCCGAGCACTGGAGCTGGCAGGACAGAAGGTAGATCACCTGGTCGTGATGGAGAAAGACCCGGAATGCCGAAGGCTAAACAGAACAAGGTGGCCTGGGTGTGACGTGATAGCTGACATCACGAGAGTGACAAAGGGAGAGATCGAAAAGTACATGAGGAGTGTACCAGGGCTCACCGGAGTGATCGCGGGAGGAGGCTCCCCGTGCCAAGGTCTTTCAAAGTTGAACGTGGACCGGACCCCAGGTCCCAGTTGTGCTACAAGTAAGGACCTGGCGAGAGAGATGAGGGTATGGTCGGTTCTGATGATAGAAAATGTAGTTGGAGATGAGGAAGACATCAGAGAGATGAGCCAACAGCTGGGCTGCCGTCCGGTGCATGTTTGCTCGGGGTGCTTATCGTGGGTTCGTCGACCAAGACTATCCTGGAGCAATGTGGCTTGGGATGACCGTGCCAGCTATCAGCTCAACCATCATGAGCGCTATGATGCGCTAGAGTTCAATGAGGAGCTGGAACCTTTGAGGTCAGAGTGTGATGAAGGGTGGATTTGGGCCTGCAGCTGAAGTCAACAAGAATCTTCGGTTGCCGGCTTTCACAAGAGCCATTCCACGGAGAAATCCGCCCAAAGAGCCAGTTGGGCTGCAGTCCTGCGATAGGAGCAGGATAGACAGATGGAAGGAAGACCAGATGAAGTTTCCTCCATACACTTACCGACCAGAGTTCCTTATCCGTCATGCCAAGGGAGAAGAGGTGAAGCGTGTGGCATCAGCAACGGAAAGAGAAAGGTTGCTGGGGTACCTCACGGGGTACACCTTGGGTCTGTATCGCAAGCAAGCAGAGACGGAGGATGAGAGGAGGAAGCAGACGGTCGCACGAGAAGCGGCTATCGGGAATAGCTTCCACACCGTGGTTGTGGCTTGCTTGATGGATCTGTCTGTGGTTGTGGAAGAAGCAAGCCCGAACTGACCCAAAAGGGGCCAGAGCCATAGTTGAGAGATGGCATGAGGAGATGGCTCGGAGGAGTTTTGACGACATTGGAGAAAAGGATGATGCCACGACTCATGTCAGCGTGAGTGAGAGAGACAAGGAGGAGGAAGAAGCTTTGGTCCAGCTGGTCCGGAACCCAAGGCGCGAACAGTGGCTGCGATTGGGAGGACACAGTGTTGGGCAAGGATCGACTGAATGTGAGATTGATTCGCCAATACCTTCGAAGGATGGAATTTCGTGGGAGTGATGTACGTCTTGACTTGCAGGTAGTATACAGGCCGGATGCTGTGGCCCGTACGACAGTAGATTCATGCAGATGAGTTTGGAAGACCGCCCAATCCTACAAGTGGCGCCGAGACGAGCGCATCAATCTCCTGGAGTTGAGGGCGTTTTTGAGGAGCCTAGAGTGGCGGGCCCGGTCAGCTTCATTTCATTCTTGTAGGTCTGTCCGATTCCCAGATCTGCTTAGCTGTACTGACAAAAGGTCGAAGCAGCTCAAGAACAATCAATCGCATTTAGCGCAAGATCTAAGCCTTGTGTGTCGCTTTGAACCTTTTTCCTTTGTGGGCTTGGATTGCATCCCGATTGAACCCAGCGGATGGTCCAAGCAGGCGTTTTGAGAAGGATGCCAAGAAAGGAGATTAAGAGAAGGGCCACAAAGGAAGACCGCAAGGCTGAGAGGCAAAGAGTGGGAAAGTTGTCGGAGCAAAGAGTTTCACAAGCGACCGCAGAACGATATGCAGTTGCTTTGCATGGCCGGAGTACCTTTGTGGGAAGCACAGTGGTAGAGCTGCTGAATCGAGCAGATCTTGAATCAGTGCTTTGCCAAGACATAGAGTTCCTGTGGGAGGAAGGAGATCCCAAGACGATGGCAAATTATGTGATGGCCGCAGTTCAGTATCGAAGGCCAGAGCTCAGAGGAAATTTGAAAGGAGCATGGCAGCTGGTTTCTTTGGAACAAGCTGGAACAACCCTTGCGGGCTACGCCACTTAGTCCCGAATTGGTGTTGGCATTTGCCGGAACACGTTGGGAATGGCATTGGCCTCCCTCGCCTAGCTCAGCTGATCATGGTGGCATTTTTGCGGCCTCCTCCGCACAGGAGAGATGTTTCAGCTTCACAGCAAGGATGTGATTTTACCCCGCAAAGACGGACAGTCAGCGATCCTTTTTCTGCATGACACAAAGACATCACAACGAAACTTTTTGACGAGTGAGAAAGTCCTCATCACCGAGAAAAGCGGAATTGCTTGCCTGCGAGCTCTTTGTCAGAGACGCAGGCCTGATAAAAACTTGGTGGATTTTTCCCCTACAGCCTTCCGCTCACTTTAGAACGAGGTGGTACACCACCTCGGGCTGGAAAGCTTCAACTGTTTGAGACGGGGAGGAGCCACAGTAGCCTATGTTCAGGGCATGCAATTCGATCAGCTTTTGGCCAAAGGCCGCTGGGAACATATTGCTACTGCTCATATTTACCTGGATCAAGCCCTCCAAGAATACACTGCCCTTGTCCTACCACAGGCCGTGACTCGTAAGGTTCGCGCAGCAAGCCAGAGGTTTGCTGCCGAGCTGGGACGCGTGGAGGAGGGGGCAAGGAGGACTTGATCGGGTAGAGGGCATAGGGTTTGCCTTTTCATCA